CTGGAGGTACTCCTGGGCCCATCGTTGCCACAGGTGGTCCCTCAGCGCCTGGAGCAGCCGCCACCGACTTAAGCGATTCGTGGGAACGTCGATAAGCGATGGTTCCGGGATCGCGTTGAGTGGGCCTCCGATCAGGAAGTGCCCGGGAGTCAGGGCGTCCAGGTCTTCAGGGTCGTCAGTCAGGGCCTGCAGTGGACGGGAGTTGAGGCAGCCCTCCACTTCGGCGAGGAACGTAGCCATTTCCTCGAACGTTAGCTTCGTGTCACCGATTACCCTACGCAAGTGGTGCTTTAGGGATTTGACGGCCGCCTCCCATAGGCCACCAAAGTGAGGAGCAGCTGGAGGGTTAAAGTGCCATCGGATCCCATCAGTCGTCAAGCGCCCGACGATTCGGTGCATCTCCGGTCCGGAGGACTTGAAGAGGGCTCGAAGCTGTGAGTCAGCACCCACGAAATTTGTACCGCAGTCGCTGTAGACTGCCTGGCATATCCCTCTCCGTGAAATGAAGCGACGGAAGGCGGCGAGGAATGCATCGGCGGAGTAGTCGCTCACCGGCTCCAGGTGCACGGCCCGAGTGCTAAAACAGATGAAAACAGAGACAAAGGCCTTGTAAGCCTTGTAGCCACGTCCCTTCGTTGTCCGTAGGAGAATAGGGCCCGCGAAGTCCACTCCAGTGTGTAGGAAAGGCCGGCTCGGAGAGACCCTTGGCCTTGGTAGGCTGCCCATCAGCGGCTGTGGGGATTCCGCCCGCCATCGCGCGCACCGGATGCATCGATGGATGTGTCGGCGCACTAGCTGTCGCCCTCGCGGGATCCAGAACCGTTGCCTGATTGTCGCTAGCGTGACCTGCGTTCCGCCATGAAGAGTACGCCGATGGATAGCATCCACAATTAGGTGAGTCAAGTGCGACTCTGTAGGCAGGATCTTCGGATGCCTTTGGTCCGCGCTGAGTGTTGAATGTTTGAGGCGGCCGTCCACGCGCAGGGCCCCGTCGCTGTCGATGATCGGTGTGAGGCGGCGGAGTGGGCTGCGGTGAGATACCCCTCGCCCGGCAAGGACATCCTCAAGCTCAGCACGGAACGCCGAGCCCTGCACTACTCGGACCCAGCGGTTCAGGGCCAGATCCAGTTCTTCTGCGGTCAGGGTGCCAGCCGGGGCGCCCTTAGCAACACGCCGCGTTCGCCAGCGGCACATCCAAGCGGTGACGCGAAGCAGGCGTGCCAGGGAGGAGAACCGAACGAGCTCGTCCGGCTCCGGCTCTCGATTTCTTGGTGCGGCCACGCCCTGTGTGGCCCTCAGCTCC